CTCATTTTTCCTTGCTGGCCACTGCAGACAGGAGAGATGGAAGTGAAAAACCCCCTTTTTGACGACTCCACTCTGCCCCCAAAGCTGCACCCCTGACTGGGAACTGTGGACTGTGTGCAGGACCTGCCCGGGGCCGCCTGACCAATGGCTCTCCTCCGCTGCCCTCCTCCGCAGATTCTTGGCTGAAATAAATCCGCCTTCTGGCAACTTGCTGCTTCTGCTCGGCTTCACGTTCCCCCCCTGCACTGGCCCTTCTTCCGCCCGGCTCCTGGATGTTGGCGAAGAGGCTTTGTGGACTGCCTGGACTCGGGAGGGAAGAAAAGGGGGGCCCACCCAGAGGCCTGGCTTGCCACCTCCTGCCCCTACAATCCCTGCCAGCCTTGGGCATGGCAAGACCCGCCTTGCAAAAATCAGAGTGGGAGGGCTTCCCTTTTCTTTCCTTGTTTTGCAGCCCCCCCCCCCAAGGTTAAAATAATGGGGCTGGGGAGCCCTTGATGCTTGAGGCGTCTCCCTTTGGAGGGAGGGAGCTGCAGCTTCAAGAGCGAGGATGTCTTCGGACAGGCCCTTCCCCGCCCAGCCGGTTGAGACGCCTTGGGAAAGTGGTCCATGTGCCCATTCAACAGGTGGGAAACGGAGGCAGACTGAGGCTGGAAAAAGTGCGTCTCCCAGGTGTAGTAAGTCCTGATCCATTTCACACTGTTTTTAGCACTTTCTCAAAGAAGCTGAATTTGGAGGCGGCTGAGAGTTCCTTTGAAGGCTTTGTGGGCAAAATCTTAGTTCTCAGAATTTCAAGGGGAAGGAATGTTACCATACAGCGTTAAGGTCTGCAGAGTGACCAGTCCAGAGAGGGGGAGCCGAGGTGACCCCCTGGAGATTCTCCTATTGGGACCCTGGAGCCAGGCAGCCTTCACCCCTTAGCTCTCTCTGGCTGTGCCCACTGTTCTGCCAGTGTGATGCCCACTCCTCGCCCCTGCCTGGTGTGAAGGGAGGTGACTTCTGTTCTGACTCATTGGGCATTTCCGAGGAATTCATAGCCGTCTGCCAGACTGACCGACCAAGAGTTGGGAGGGCATTGAGCCACGTTTTCTTTTCTGTTTAATTACAAACAAATCTGGAAGGTTGATTGATTTTCTTCATACCAAGTTCAGAAGGTTTCTGAAGTATTTCTGAATTCCGCAATTAAATGGGATGGGTGTTGAGGGAAGAAGAATGAGATTGCTGGTCATCTGTGTTGGTTGCTTTCAGAAGACACGATGTTCCAAGCGTTTGATCACCACCACCACTGCCAAGAATTGTGGGGGGAAGTGTTGGAGAGGGTGAGTTGTATTATACAGCCATCAAGGCTGATTCCTACCCCCATCTTAGCAAATCTAAAGATATTCATGAACCACCTGGGTAGCCCTGGCCTATTTCTACTTGCCCCTACTGTGAGGTCTAGAAACTTGATGGAAAACAATACAAGGAAAACAAGGTTCCCTTCTCAGGTGCATAAGTGAAGTTTGAAAAAGGAGCATTTGCTTATGCAATTGGACTATGGGGTTGCGATGCAACTCACAAGCAACTTTGGAAGTTGGCACCTTGTGAGGTAGGGTGAGTTTGCAGGGCAGAGGAAGGGCATTTTATTTTATTTTGGAGAAGTTTGCCAAAAGGCTCAAGAAACCATGTTTGGGGTGTATTAGAGTTGTATCAGGAACCCCCCACCCACCCACCACACTTCCTCATATGAGTTTTTGCAAAGGTGTCCCCCCTCCTTCCCATCAGGGTCTCATGAGAGTTTTCTTGGGCTTGAAGGGCTTGAAGCTGCAGCCAGGGGCCCCCCAAGCCTCCATCGGCTGGGCCCCTTTGCTGGAGCTCTCCTACCTGAATCAGAAGAGTCTTTGTGGGTAGGGGGGCTTCTCTGGCTGAGAGATCATCTTTTTAAGCAGAGAAGAAGGACGGAGAGTATCAGGGCTGCTTCCAAAGCAGCTTTGGGGTGGGGGGGAGGTGGAGAGACCTCTCTGCATTCATCCTCCTGTTTTGAGTTTGCACAGCACTTTTGCACTTACCCCACTGAGTAGTTTACTCCTTACTTTTGTATTCTTCCCAAAGTAGAAGCTGCACACAAGGGAAAGAGAACCGAACCCGGAGCTCTATGCTCCTCTGCCTCCTGGCTTGTGTCCGTTGCTAATAGGGAGGGAGGGAGCGGAGAGTTTCTCCTTCAGCCCTGCTCGGGTGGGGGGCTCTGTTGATGTCCCCGGAGTGGCCAGCTCTTAGACCCCAGAAGCGATGGTGGGTTGGTGGGGGGAGGGGGGAGAATGCCACGCTGGGATCGTTTATTTTTTCTTTCTTGTTTTGTTGTTTTTGTTTCCAGACCTCTATGGACTGTGTTTAATACATTTTATTAAATTACCAATTCTCAAGCTAGATCTTTGGTGCTTCTTTGGTGCCCTTCGGTTTTAAATGTTTTCTTCCTGGATTTAGGGGTACTTCAAGGGAACATCTCTGTCCACGCAACCTCTATCCTTGGGGGACCCGCGACTATGTTGGTTTGATCGGCAAATTATTCTGTGCCTGAGAATATCTAGGAGGTAGTTAGAGAAATGCAGATAGGTCTCAGTCACTCAAAGGGCTCCCAGCCTCCCTCGGTGTGTGTAATATTCTTTTGCAGGATGTGAAGCATACCAAGGGGCTCACCTAAAGGCAGTTTTTTGGGTGAGACACAGAGGCTGATTCTCCAAGGTGGCTCTGATCCCATCCAGGCCTGCAGGATGGAAGCCAGCACTGTGGCCAGCGGTCGCTCTGCCTCCCCGCCCCCATTAGGCCAGGCAAACCAGCTACCTAGCTCAGCCCTCCTGCTTCGGAATGGGACAACTTGCTATAGGCAACTCACTGTGGGAAAATCACCACGGCCAACTCACTACAACCGAGTCACCGCTGGACAATTTCTCGCGGCCAACTCGCCACAGGCCAACTGCGGCACAATTTACCAATGCTATTTCCTTATTTAAAATAATTTTTTATTTATTTTTGCCATTCCCATCTCATTCTGTCCCCCACTTTTGCATTCTTTGTTCAATGATTCTATTTCACTGTTTCTTTGATCTTAGTGTAACTCTTGTCCCGCAGTGAGTTTTTCTGTGGCGAGGTTGCTGTGCCGCAACGAACAAAATGTTTAAAAGTAATAGTAACTACATCATGTGTATGTAGTTACTTACCAAAATATATTAAAGTAGCCGAAATATCTTTACAATCCCCAAGGCATGTTGTCACAATGGCTGAGAACCCCTAATGTTTGGAAATTGAAAGCTGAAAAATTTGACCCTCCCTAGACTCCCGCAGGGAGTTGGATATGGTGAGTTGCCTGTGGCAAATTGTCATAGACTCCTCCTACCTGGCCACTGCTTGCCCACCAATGGGCCAAAGGGTGGGGCCGAAGTTGAGGCAACCCCTCCTCGAGGGTGCCCAGAGGATGGGTGTCTCCCTGGTGCTGTAACCACTGCACCCCCTGGCCCCCTGCTCAAGATATTGCGCAAGTAATAATCCCATCCTGACTTTGCAAGTAAATTGCATTCTGCACATATTTGGAGGAACATAATTTACTATTAAGGTGGTCCTTTTCTTAGATAGGAAAGGAATATTCAAGCAATCCGATTAAACATTCAGGCAATTCAAGTGAGGACTGGAGCAGTGCTCGGTGCTGATGAAAGAAAGAATTATTTTGACCCTGTAGAGGTTGAAAGATCCGAGAGGAAGAAGATGCACAGCAGCAGCACCATCCTTGGGTGTCCGCCAGAGGGGCTCACGGGACCCCAGCCTCAAACCCTGACATGCTTTTAAAGGTCCCTTTTTAAAGTGCTCCTAGCGATTGCCCTGTTAATCTTCCTTTCCGGATGCTGGCAGTTTAGATTGTCATTTAAATTCCCCCCTTCCGCCGATGGAGCATATTGCATGGGGATTTTCTCCCTCCCCATCCCAGCCCTGCAAAATAGGTCAGTATAAGATTAGGATTAGCTGAGCAGTTTTAGACTGATGGGGGGGGGGAGGAATGGGAGGGAAAGTTGGGGAAATTAAAAATGGGTCTCTCTCGGGGGCTTCCAACTTTGCACCAGGTTCAGTCCAGTGGTTTCGGAAGAATTAATGGGGATCAACTCTGTAGGGTTTCAGTGGTACCACTAGAGGGAGCTGATGGCCACACGAGGCTGGCACCGGATTGGCACTGTGCCGAGAAAGGGGCAGATTTCACCAGAGGGAGAATTAGAAAGATGTTAACCGATGTTTGCAGGAAGTGGGGAGCACGTGAGTTGGAGAGCTGAGGGAGGGCCGAGATTCATCCTGGGGCAGCCAGCACTGTGGCCTGGGGTCCCTCTGCCTCCCCTCCCACGTTAGGCCAGGCAAACTGGCTATCTAGCTCAGCCACCCTGCTTGGCCACTGCTTGCCCACCACTGGGCGAAGGCTGAGGCCGAAGTCGAGGCACTCGCTCCCCAAGGGTGCCTAGAGGATGGGTGTCTCCCTGCTGCCAACCTGGCTCTGTAACCACTGCGCCCGCTGGCCCCTTGCTCAAGACAAGTAGGGGCAATGAGGTTTCTAGCTTCCTTTCCTGTCAGAGTCACTTGGGTAAACAGGAAAGGGTTTAAGGTCTTCTGCTTTGCGGCTTTCACGCCTTTCTCTGCCACTGGAATGGCTATCTTCTCAGATGCTGCCTCCCCGTGTGGCAATCCATGTGGGTTGAACTACAAATCCCATAGTCCATCCCAGACTGGGTGGTGCTGGGGGATGGACCTTGCTGGGGGAGTGGAGAAGAAAGGAAGCTTGGCGAGCCCTTGAGCAAAGAAGGAAGGAAGGAAAGGAAGTTGAAGGAAAGAGAACAAAAGAATTGAAGCCAGGAAAGGAGGGGCCCTGTGGGTGGGCCTTGGTGCAAATGTAGGGGCTTTTACCCTGGGGTTGGGATCAGTATCAGAGATGGGCAGCTCTGGAGGGGAGCCACGGATGGTCTGGCTGCCCCAGAGACAATCAGATGCTGCTAGTAATCCCAGTACCAGCGCTTCAGGTCCGGGTAGAGTTTATTTGGGGGCAAGTGGGGGTACTGCTGGCAGATGGAGCAGAACCGTTCCCGCCAGTCCTGGTGGAGTCTGACCGTGTAGTTCCGCTTCCAGGCAAAGAAGTTCCGGTAGTGGCTCTCATTCATGGTGGTCAAGAAAGTGGCCAAGTCCTTGGCTGAGCTGAAGTCGTCCACGTGGATAAAGGAGTTGGCGGGGATGAACTGCTCGTAGTTGGCGCGGGAGGGGCCCAGGACGATGGGCACGGAGCCGGCAAGGAAGGCGTTCTTCCACAACTTCTCTGTGATGTAGTCCCGGTGGATGGAGTTCTCGAAGGCCAGATAGAACCTGTACTTGGAGATGGTTGGTAGCAAACAGTCTGGGCACAGCAGCTTCCTGTTGGCCTTCCCGAACACGTCGATTCTGAGGTGCCTGGACAGTTCATGGTACATCACTGCCCTGGCTTGGGAGGCATGATAGTTGCTGATCACCCAGCACACTAAGCCCGTTTTCTCTGGGATCTCCACCACCTCCAGCGAGTGAGGCACCAGCTCCCCATAGGGGAAGAAGAGGTCAGCGTCTCGCCTGTATGAGAGGACCCAGTTCCATTCCTTCCCCGTCCAGCCCTCCAGGGCTTTGGTGTTGCTTGGAGATTCCAGGGAGGCCCAAACCCACTTTTGCCCAGGGTGGGCCTTGGACAGCAGATGGTCCCTTCTTTCATACTGGAGTTCCCAGTGATGGAACACCACAACGTCCACTTGGTTGAACAGGTGGCGGTTTGTGGTCAGTTGGCAGCCCGTGATGCCATACAGCCTGGAGCAGACATCACCGGTCAGGTCTGTGGCTGCCCCAAAGGGCCAGCTCCAGATCAGGAGGCTCAAGGTGCCGTTGTGCCTTGTAAATCTTGGAGGGTCATCGGACAGCTTGAAGAGAAGTGGGACATTCCAGAAGAGGACGATGCCAAGGAGAGACGCACCTGCCCAGAACTTTGCCACGGGGGCCATCAGGTGGGAAAGTGACCAGAAACACAACTGCTGCTTTGTGTTAGGAGCTGGCTTAAGGAACTGCGGTTGCTCAGCCCTCTTCCTTCCTTGGTCCCAACAGTTCTCAGAGCTGCAAAGAATGGCATAAGAGGTTACAGTGCTCAAAAGGATTGCAAAATATCCCCTATTGCATTAAAGGAAGTACAGAGCAGCTCGGAAGTCTTTCGTTCCGGCCCTTCTTTGCCCAAGGAGGTCCGGGATTTATGAAGTCTTAGCCTGATGCAAAGGAAGTTGCTGAGATCGGAGTCTTGGGAGTTGTTAAAGTTGGAAGGTATGGATGAGACTGCAGAACCTTTCGGCTTTAGCAGTGCCGCCACCATCTGCAGTGATGCTTCAGTGTAACTGCACACCAACTAGGTCACTGTGGGGTGTGCAGCCTGCTATGCCTTTGGAAAATATGGAGCATTGTGATGCATGCAATATTTTATAAACTATATTTCTGTCTTGTATTTGGCTGCAAGAAACAGAATCTCTGCCCCCCTCCCCCTCCTCTGCTGCCTCAGATCCCTTAAGACAAAACTCAAGATGAGATCAAGAAACGGGGTGGTGGTATCTGAGAGACATGAAAAGTCCAAGCAGGGGGAACAAGGAAGAGACACACACACACCCCAGCTCCGGAGTGGTCTCGGAAAAAAAATCAGTTCTTTTTTCCTACAACCTTGCCATTATCTAATCATCCAACCAACGTTAAAATCTGGCTGAATGACTATCACATTATTTGGGAGAGGATTAGAAAAACTGAGTGATGTTTTTAACAGCTCAGCGGGATGTAACTGTGGTATTTTGTGGATGCTTTGATCTGAATTGCTTTCACTTCTCACTCAGCCAGATTTTTGTTCCTGGAAGTTAAATAGAGAGAGAAAATCACAATACCCGAAAGCAGTGAAACTTCTGCTGTCCGTGAAATGGGGAGGGGGAGGGGGGCTTTAAAGTTTCCTATTCTGGAAAAGGAGTTTGTGAAAGGTATCTGAGCAGCTGCAGAACTCTTATTAATAAGACATCTGACAGAGAGTCATTCTAATTATGCAGATTCTGGCTCCTTTAGTTGATAAGGTTTTCTGTTTTCATTTGCATTCCCCTCCCTACACATTCTATTTTTGGTTTAAACAGTCATATTTTTGCATGCTGTGCACTTCGATCTATTGTAAATGCAGTACAAAGAATGAAAATGCAAAGTGTGGGGTAAACAATGATCAAACTTGAACAATGTAATTATCAGTTTAGGATACTCTGCCTTAATTTAACTGGCATCATTTCCTGCACCGAAAAGATAAACTGTTAGATTCATAAAGATCCCGTGGAGGAAAAAACAAATATTTTAAGGACCTTTAAAAAGGACTGAAGGGGAAGGGAAGGGTCATTTCAAGCATTAGGGATGCTAAATTGATTCCAATCTGGTTTGAAGGATTTGCCTCCTTGGTTTAGTTTGAACGCCTCAGTGCAGCAGTCAGTCAGGGGCAGCTGGGTTGCTGCTCAGCGCTTGCCTTTCCGTGTTTTCCCCTAATGTAGTGGGGAGCGAAAGGGAGAGGAAAGGGCCAGTTCCTCCAAGCTGGGAGGGTGAGGAAGAGGAGAGCCAACTGTGAATTTTGCAAGGGGGTCGAGCAAGCTTTTCCCACACTGCAGGGCTGGTGCCAATCAAACCAAGCTATGCTTAGGAATCAGATTTTAGCTAGGAGCCTGGAAAGCATCTGGACTGGGACTTCCCTCAAGGAGCTCAAAATGGTTGCTTGAAGTCTTGCAAAACTATCTATCAAACATCTCTAAATAGATTTTTCTCTGCTACTGATGCAAACAGATGCCAACCCACCACATTTGCGTATGCCATCGACTCCTCCCAAAATGAACTGGCTCTCAGTGCCTCAAAACGCGAAACACAATAAAAAAACATGTCAGCAATAAAGTTCATAAAGATCCCACCCTTGAGGGGTCTTCCTCTCCTCTTCCTCTTTGGGGCAGAACTGTTTAAACCCTTTTCTAAAGGGCACATTGGAGGGCAAAGGGCTGCAAAGGGAGGGGGCTGCTCCAGAACCATGGTTGAAATATGGGTGGCCATGAGAAGAAAATGGTGTCTCTGCATCCCTGAATTTAGCTGCCTGCAGGTTCTTCACACATACACACACACACACACCTACACGACAAAAGCTGTAGATCCCCAAGGACAGATTGAACCAAAACAGGAAATGATGGCAGAAATTCATGATGAGCTTGGTTAATAAGAAGAAAAGATGAAGCAAGCAGACAATACAGACTGTGACAGGAATAAGAGAGAATGAAGAAATCTGAGTAAGCTTTAGTAATCTTAGGAGTTGGTACCACTGAGTTGGTCAGAACTGGTCTGACAGAGGGAAAAACCAACACTGAATGCAGATTGCATTGTGTAACCTGGCTTGGCTGCTCATAGGTAACTGCCCCAAATTTAGTACAATGAAATTTGCGTGTATCTGCATAGATTTATTGCATTCATCTATATTTCATTCTGTTTCTTCCTCCTTTTGTACGGTTCATTTATTCCTAATAAAAGTGCAGCTTCTCAGTTGGTTCACTTGAGACATTTCATGGGTACCAGGTGATGTAACTGCTTCTAGTAATTCTGAAAGTGCCCCGAGTTTAAGGAAGCCGAGCTTTCATATCCTTCCAGCAACTAAAATCAGTGTTCTTCTAACTGGCACATCAAACGAACTATTTTCATTAAAGAGATTTCAGGAAATAAAACGAGAAAATAACAAGAGTTTGCATCACTGGTGGGCAACGAACGGTACATCCTTATTGAAATGCAGACTAAAAATTGCAGTATGAGGTTAGCCTCGAAATAGTAAAAACGAATTTAATTTTAATTTTAAAACGCAAAAGGGATTGGATTGAGAGAGATTTACTCGTGTCCCTGCCCAGAGAGTGAAGTTTTAGATTTCTAAATTACTAATTAGGATTTTTTTTTAAAAAAAATAGCCCTTCCAAAATTTAAAAATGAAAACTTGCTACTTCAAACATCTGGAAAAATATTGAATTTGAAATCCATTCTTATAAGGTCTGTTTTGGGGGCAGGTGTAACAGCAGGTGGCCAAGAGCTTTAGGAGGAGAATTTTTGTCAGAATGGTTAGTGGAAAGGAGAAAAGGTAGAAGAAACACAATGGAAGTTCTTTTTTTTTTTAAGGCTTTCATTTTGTTTCATTTCAATACTTATCTTCATCAGAAATTGCCCTCCTCTATAAGCCGCCTTTTATCAACTCGTGCAGAGAGCTGCACAGATATTGCTGAGAATCAGGTGGCATGGAAGTTTAGTAACTATATTTATTTGTCATAAATCACAGCCATTTAAAACTCCTGCCCATACTGTTCAAGAATGGAAATTAAAAGTAACAAACTTAGCAGAGATGGCTAAAATACCAGCATATCTTAAGGACCATTCAGATGAGAAATACAAGCTGGAATGGAGAAGATGGATTGATTATATCCAAAATAAATACGGGACTAAGAAACTCCAGATAGCTTATGATTGAATGAGCAAGGAATGATACAACTTGTTTAAAGTTAGCTTTACAAAAGGGGAGTTAAAATACAAGTGAGGGATGATGCTAAAGTCTGTTAGTTTATTTTAGAATATGGTTGTTAATGTTTATACCCTATATTTGCTCTGGGAGGTTGGGGGGGGAGGTTGGGAGGGGAGGTGGGTTCGGGGGGGGGAGATACATATTTGTAAAACTTTTTACAAAACTTTTAATAAAAAAAAAAACTCCTGCCCAAATGATATGGATTGTTTTAAATTATGTTTTTTATATTTTCTTGTAAGCCGCCTGGAGTCCTTTGGGATCGGGCGGCATATAAAAGCTTTAAAATAAATAAATAAATACATTTATTGGTCGAAAACTAGCACACGAACATAGGCTGTGCCCGGACAGAGAGAGAGAGAGAGGGACAGAAACATTTCCCTGGCTCTAAATAACAATCAATACTTTTCTGAAGCACAGTTCGTTCTGTTCCACCTTTGCTTCGGGGGGGGGGGGGCAATGCCCGCCATAAATGGCATAAATGAACTTACCGCTGCCGCCCTGGTTCTACCCCGGAGAGCAGCTCCTGCTTTGATAGATGATCTGAGCGGAGGCGGAAGGCAGAAGAGGCGCTTGTGGTCTCCCCTCCTCTTTTCAAAAGAAAGCCGCCCCTGGCACTCTTCACACTTTGGTCAGACTCAAAACAGCTGTATGGCGGGAAGCTCCTCTTTCTCTCTCGCCCCAAACCACATCTGGGGCAGCTGCCTCAACGGCTGAGCCATGCTGGAGGGGAGGATGCAGCGGGGTTCCTTGCAAGGGGAGCTTTCCCTTGGGGGGGGGGAACAGGGACCGTCCCCCAGGGCCCCCCCCCACTTCAAAAGGGTCCGTTGTCCTGGGTAACTCCCTGCCACCAGACCTGGCATGAGCAGTCACTCCTCTTGCCTCTGGAAGGAGACCAGGGGCATGGAAGCAAAAGGGGAACTGAGTTGTGGTGACCCAGGTGCAAGTCTGGCTTTGGCACCCGGCAGCTGGCATACAGAGATATACCTCTCTTGCTGCCCCCAGCAGCCCTTTCCACAAAAGTCTTAAATTTCCACTGCCTTTTCCGCCCCCTCCTTGACTTCAGCTGGGCTGCACCGCCCGGTTTCCGAAATGGCCTTTATCTCGTGTTCTGATAACTTTTGTCACGCTGGGTGGGGATAATGGGAGGTGTAGTCGGGCCAAGGGGCTTGAGGTATAGGTGGTCTCAGTAGTTGCATCCCTTTTGGGGCACCTTTGGGGTTCACAACCCCAGGAAAAGGCCTGTCAGGGAACTGGGCAGCCGGTGTCAGAGAGGCTGACACAAACCAATTTTATAAAATATATTAATAATTGAAGTGGAGGCCAACAGGAGTGGCGTCCTCAGGTGAATCAACAGAGCAGGGACACCGTGAGGTAAATCAGAGAGGGCACAGGAGGAAAAAAGGCGGGAAACAAGGAAACGCCCCCTTGTCACTCAGCAGCCAATCAGAGCTCATGCAGCGGCCAGCTCTCTTCCACCAATTGGCTACCGCCTTTGTCTTCTTACTCCTTGTCCAGCCCTTCAGCTGTCCAGCTGTTAAATTTTAAATGTCTCAAGGAGGCCACATTCTGAGCTGAGGAAGAAACTAACATTGTGGATTCGGCAAAGGATTTATTTTAGTGCTCCCAGCATTGAAAAAAATTTTTTTTAAATAATAATAATAATGATAATTATATAATAAAATTAATCCACTGGTCATTACGTAAAAAATATGGTTTACCTGTATCCAGAAAGTCATGGGAACATAAAGTGGAAAAAGTTATTGAAAATGGGAAGGTGAAGACCTTTTGGGATTTCACAGTTGTAGAAAACCAAAACATACCATTTTTTTTAATTGAAATTTTTTTTAAAAAAAATTTTACAAATATTTACCTCCCCACCCAAACCCAACACCCCCACAACCTCCTCCCCCCCAACTTCCCAGAACAGATACAGGGTATAAATCTTTAACAAAGATG